GCACGTGGTTGTGACAGGAGACAGAGGGACTTCCAGGAAAGGCTTTCTTTACAAACTGGGGGAGATGCAGGGAAGAAATCTGCTTTCTCTTTGCTGATATGGGAGTGTGGCTGTGATGGCTGCAACCAACGCAGCCACTTGCTGTCTGGGAAGAAGTGCTCCAGGGTGCATGACCGATGGAGGGTTTTGACAGTGGCCTTCTGGACACCAGGCTCCTTTTTACACAGTGTGCACAGGGATCAGGTGCCACATTGGTGAGGGAATTGGAGGTCATTTAAATTTTTTGGTTTTTTTCAAACAAGCCTCTATTTGTAGGAAGAACAGAACTCAAGGGGCTTTTCCCCTTCACTGCACTAAAACCTAAGCTCTTTGTGGAGAAAAATGTATCCTACACCTTGAATGTGGCTTGACCTTGGCTCCACCCTCATTCCATGAATGCAGATGGGAATTTTGTGACCAAAATGGATTAGAATATAACAAAAATATTTGTCACACCAAGTAGACTTTAGAGATCTGTTGAAGAGACAGATCTAATTACAGCTGAATCTTTGGGGAAGAAAAATAGTTGTTTTATGAATAATTAAAGCTGATAAAACTGGGAGCACCACAAAATTAAATTGTGTCTTTCATGTTTGAGTCAAAATCACTAGCCAGCCTTAGAAAGTAATTTAATTATGAAGTACAGACTGCTTTTTTGTATCTCAGTCTCTCTCCTCTGTATCTCTTGTCTGCACAAGGATCCTATCAGGTGACCCAACCCTCATTCACAATCCAGTTTTGGAGACCATGTATTCCAGCTGCTCTACCCATGCATGCATATATGCATCTATCCCTCCCTCCATCACATGCATGCATGCATCTATCATCATCCCTCCTTTCCTACCTCTTTCCTTCCCTCCCTCCCTCCCTCTACCCATCCACCCACTCATCCATTCACTGGCATTATCAGCCACTTGCCACATACTGCACTATGAGGGATGTTGTCCTCACTTAACATCCACTGTTAAATGGTTCTACTTTACAGACGTGGACACTGAGGCAGGTGAAGAAGCTTGCCCAAAGTCACACTGAGTTGCAGAAATGGGACTTGATTCTGAAGCTTGGATGCTGCTTCAACCGCCAGAAGACTAGCAGCCTCAGTGTCTCCCTCAGGTCTCAGGTTCTTGGTACTCCCTTCACCTTAGCCACAGGCCCACACCTGTCCCAGCAAAACCCAAAATTCAAATTAAAGGCAACAACTGTACAGTACAGACCTATAGCTGGGTAACAACTTACAAAAAAGCAGAGGCTGTATCTGTGTTCAAAGCTCAGCTGTGGGTTCCCCTTCACACAGCCCTTAGACATGGCAGTCATTCAACCCTGGTGCTCACAATGTGTCCCACACCACCTTTCCAGGCTTAGCAGCTACTCCCTCTGAAATATACCTAGTTTGTAAAATGCTACACCTGTGTAGATGGATTCAGTGAAGAGAATTTTTCTGTCAGATTTTCCCCTAGTTTTTTTTTTTACATCCAAAGCAGACAGTCATTGTAGCTAGCCTTGTACTACTCTGGAACAAAAAATTCCTCTGCTACTCAGCCATGGAGGTTGGGGAGCTGGAGTTTGGGGAGGAGGTACTCTAGAGCATTTCTTAGCATCACCATGCCCTGTGATAAGTCTGGGAATAGACAAGGTGCCTTCTACTCAATGTACCACTGGATGCCCTAGCCAGAGCAATTAGGCAGGAAATAAAAGGTATGCAAATCAGAAAGAAAGAAGTAAAACTGTCTGTTTGCAGATGTGCCTTTATATGCAGAGAACCTTAAGACTCCACTACAAAACTGTTAGAACTATTAAACAAATTCAGTAAAGTTAGAAATTAAAAATAAACAGAAAAATTAGTTGCCTTTCTATACACTAACAATGCACTGTCTGGAAAAGAAAAAAATCCCACTAACAATACCTTCAAAAACAATTTTTGGGAATATATTTAACCAAGGGATTAAAAACTCTGTACATGAATACTAAGACACTGATAGTAGAAACCGAAGACACAAATAAATGGAATGACATCCTGTGTTCACGGCTCAGAAATATTAATATTGTTAAAATGTCCAGCCCTGGCCAGTGTTTCTAAATGGTTAGAGCATCGGCCCACACACCAAATGGTCTCAGGTTTGATTCCCAGTCAAGGGGACATACCTGGTTGCAGGTTTGATCCTCATTCAGGAGGCAACCAGTCGACGTTTCTCTCTCTCTCTGCCTCTCCCTTCTTCCCTCTCTTCCACTCTCTCTAAAAATCAATGGAAGCTCTGGCAGGCATGGCTCAATGGTTACAGCATCTCCCTCCAATCAAAATGAAGGGTCTCGAGTTTGATTCCTGGTCAAGGGCACTACCTGGTTGCAGGTTCCTGGGCCCCGTCCAGGTGCATGTGGGAAGCAAACAATTCATGTGTCTCTCTCACATTGAAGTTTCTCTCTTTCATTGATGCTTCTCTCTCCTCCTTTCCTACCTCCCTTCCACTCTCTCTAAAATCACTAGAGAAAATATCCTTGGGTGAGGATTAACAACAAACGTTCATACTAATCTAAGCAATCTTTAGTTCAATGCAACCACTATAAAAATGCCAATGGCATTTTTCATATCAATAAAGTCCCAGCCCAGCCCGCATGGCTCAGTGGTTGAGCATCAACCTATGAACCTGGGGGTCATGGTTAGATTCCTGGTCAGGGCACATGCCTGGGTTGTGGGCTCAATCCCATGTGGGGCCTGCAGGAGGCAGCTGATTGATGAATCTCTCTCATCATTGATGTTTCTATCTCCCTCTTCCTTTCTGAAATCAATAAAATATATTTTAAAAAATAAAAAAGTCATACAATTTTTAGGAACCACATAAGATCCTGAATAGTCGAAGCAATCCTGAGGGAGAACAAAGCTGCATCACACTTCCTGACTTCAAGCTACATTACAAAGTTGTACTGAAAACAGTGTGACATAAAACCAGACACCTAGACCAACTAAACAAAATCAAGTGCCCAGAAATAACCCCTGCATAAAAGTTCAACTATTGTTTGACAAGGAAGCCAAGAATACTCAATAGAAGAAAAAGCTCTTCAATAACAGCGTTAGGGAAAGTGCATATTCACTTGAAATAGAATGAAATTTGGACCTCTTTCTTGTAACATTTACAAAAGTAAACATGAGGTTTAAATATAAGACCTGAAACTGTGACACTCCTAGAACAGGGAAAAGCTCCTTGACATGGGTTTCTTAATAAATTTTTGGATGACACCAAAACCACAAGTGACAAAAGCAAACATCACCAGACAAATCTACTGCAGAGCAAAAGAAACAATCTATAATATGAAAGGGAACCTACACACACACACACACACACACACACACACACACACACACACACACCACAAAAAAACAGGAAAGACATGAAATAAGAATTTCCGTAGTGATGGTTACTTGAAACTTTAAAATTTAGGAGACTTTCTTATTTCTCAATTGAGGATGGCATTTTATGACACAAAATCCAAAAAAAAGTTAATTTAAAACTTTGTGAATCAGAGTATAACACAAAATTTTAAAAATTTCATGGCAACAGAAATTTTAAATAAAAAACAGACAATAAACAGGAACAAATATTTGCATCTCATACATCAAGGGCTCTGACAAATTAACCTGAAAAAGAACAATCCAAATAAAATGTGCACAAAAGATCCGAGTTCACAGAAATACACAGCTCTTGAATATATGGATATATTTGGTGTAATTCCTGAGAACACAAATGAAGACCACAGGAAATCCCATGTTTCACCTGTCACAGCAGTAAAGGTCACAGAGCTGTGATGCTAGTGGAGGTATAGAGAACAAAAGCTTCCATGAGGGCTGGCACAGACCCCTGGGGGCAGTTTGCAAATACCGACACAAAATGTTAAATGCACTCAGCTTTAACCCAGCAATTTCACTTCTAGGAATTTACAGATGTTATCAGATAACTGATAACACAGCCATTAACATTCAATGTGACCATGCCATATGTCGTTACTCTCTACTACACCTTAAGTGAAAAAAAATCTGCTAATTGTGTCAGAAATACATAGAAATATGCATAAAATCATTTTTGGAAAGATTCACAAAAAGTGGGTTGTGCCCTGAGCAGTGATCTCAGTGGTTAGCGTCAGCCTGCACACAGAAGGGTCTCAGGTTAGATTCCTGGTCCAAGGCATGTACCTGTACCTGTACCTGTGTTTCAGTTTAGCTCACTGCCTCCAGTTAGGGTGAGGGAGCTAACCCTCACCAATGTTTCTCTCTTCCTGTCCCTCCCTTCCACTCTCTCTGAAAAAGCAATGAAAAAAATATCCTCAGTTGAGGATTAACAAAAAAAAACAACAACAAAAAGTGGGTGGTGGTGGCCTTTGGAACAGGGAAAAGGAGTGGGAGTCAGTATAGGAGGAAGCAGTTGTCTGGATTCTGAACTGGTGCTGCCTCAGGTTGGCTTTCCTTCATTATGCTAATGAAGGAGGAAGTTCAGTTCAGGTTGTAGGACCCTTCCAGCTTTAAAATTAATAAATAAGTTGGCTACTATAATTTTAGGGCGACCTTAAGGATTTATACAGCTTATAAGGCTATTTTTAAGATGTGAGATTTTCCTTTGAATGGTATTTTTAAATAATGAAGAGGCCTAAGATTGATCACTTTAGTATTTCCCATAGATGGCAATGAAGAACAGGCAATAAGACAGGGAAACTATTCATAACAACTTGAGTCCCTTGGCTATGTTTGGAGAATTTTTGCTTATTTTACATAAACACAAACCCTCAAATTTGGAAAAAGGCTGTTTTGGCCCTTTTTTGGCTTAGAGTGAACAGGTAAGTGTTTAAAAACTGATTTTAGAGACTGTCCACACACCAATTCTTCTCATGAATGTTTATGTCCAAAGAGCAGCCATACTACACAGGGATCTTATTAAGCTGTGTATTTTGTTAAATTATTGACAATAACCAAGAGCTCACATGAATATATTTTATAGACTTAAAAAAGAAACATTTACAAAAAGAAAGAAACATTTACACAAACAATAAACATGAAGGCTCAAAGTGAGCAGGCCAGCATTTACAACGTGATTTTTCAGGAGTGCTTGTGTCTTATTTTCGAGAACGTTTATGTTCTAAGAGCAGTACAATTAGCCTGTTACGGAGGGTCTTAATCTTGTTTGTATAGTGTTGTTGAAATATCTTCTTTAGCTTTTGCCTTAACAAATCCAAAGACGGAAGGTGATGGCAATCTGGTATATTCAACATGATGTGGAAAAATCCATTCCACATATCCAAATGCGGAAGCCTGGGAAAACAAAGCACAAATAAAGGATAAAATGTAGCATTCCATATGCAGGGCCCACTCTTGCCTTTGTCTCCCAGTCATGGAGAACTGAACATTAACAACCTTCACCTACACGAAACTCAATGCATCAAGAAAAGGAATGTTCAATCGATCCTATATAATAAAGAGGTGATATGCAAATTAATTCTCACACCATCACACCATCACAAGATGACTGTGCCCACAGCAGAGGCAGGATTCCCATAACGAGCCATATGAGCGATAAGAAGGGACCTGAGGCTGTGTGGTGCCAGGCTGGGGCACCTGAGGCTGCACCCCCTCGCCTGGCGGGGCTTGACGGGGGACCTGAGGTCATGCCCCCTGCCCTGGCACTGAGCCGGGGGACCTCAAGTTGGGTCGGGGGACCTGAGGCTGCGCTCCCCGCCTGGCAGGGCTTGATAGGGCCCTTGAGGCTGAGCTTCATGACCCAACGGGGCTGGACGGGTGACCTGAGGCTGCGCCCCTCTCCCGGCACTGGGCTGGAGGACCTGACACTGCACCCCCTGTGCAGCACTGGGTCAGGGGACCTGAGGGTGGGGCCCCCACCCAGTGGGGCTTGATGGGGGTGGGGCTGGCCGGGTCTGGGTCTCGCATGATTTCAAAGCGCACGTGGGTGGGTGGGGACTTGACTCTGGGTTCCGCGGCGTGCCCCAGACTCTGACAGGAGGAAGATTTTCATATACATTTTACTAATTTTCTTTCATCTCTGACACTTCTATTACAAAGAGCAAATAGCAATATTAAAATATTTCCTCTAATTAATTTCCTTTTAATGTGCACAAATTCCTTGCACCAGGACACTAGTTTATAAATAAGAGATATAATTAAATATCTATAAATATCTAATTTCCAAAATGTGATTCAAGAAAAGTAGTCTTAGTAATAATAGCTCTTCAGTCAAAAACCTTTCTCTTTTAATTTTTTTAAAGAATATTGATCTGTTTATTGCTACTGGTATTTCCAATATTGTCAGATCTGATAATCTGGTCAATGGCTCTGACAAGCCTCATTGCAACCACGCCAGGAACAGGCAGAAAGGCTGGGCTGCCCAGAACAGAGCACAGAGTTAAAGTTCTAACCACTGTAATGGCTAAAGCTATCTGCAAAAATTCCAGAACATGAAGATAATGCACTGGGGGAAATTTGTGTTCCAGGAGGAAATCCAGCCCATTATTACCAGGCCTGCTTAGAGTTAATTTATAGCTACTCTGGTCAGAGATTGAAGCCTCTGAATAATTTTCTGGTCCTTTCTTGATGACCAAGAAAAATCATAAAGTAGTTGCTAAATTTGATGATTCATGCAGAATAAAGCATACTGTAAGTTTTCCTCTGGGGCCTCTTATTTATGTACAGACTCTGCATTTTATAAAATTACTATTGACAGGTCTTTTTCTTGTAAAGTCTGTAAAAATCCACTGGGGCTGTATACTTAAGGTGAATCTGTTTTTCAACGTATGTTTTCATATTTCAAAAACATTTAAGAAAAAGTATCCTATATAATAAAAGCTCAGTGACCCTTACAGCAGAAAACCAGAACAACCGGTCGCTATGACATGCACTGACCACCAGAGGGCAGACATTCAATGTAGGAGCTGCCCCCTGGTGGTCAGTGTGCTCCCACAGTGGGAGTGCTGCTCAGCCAGAAGCCAGGCTGGCGAGCACAGCAGCAGTTGTGGGAGCCTTTCCTGCCTCCGCAGCAGCGGTAAGGAGTGGTGAGCCAAGTGGTAAGGAGCGAGCAGGCAGGCGTCAGGAGCAAGGGGTCCTGGATTGCAAGAGGAATGTCCGACTGCCAGTATAGGCCCAATCTAAACTGGCAGTCGGACATCACCCAGGGGTCCCAGAATGTGAGAGGGCACAGGCCGGGCTGTGAGGCCCTGCCCCTCTCCTGCACAAATTTCATGCATTGGGCCTCAAATAAATATATAACGAGTATACTTGTACTGAATGCTCAGCTTAAACATTACCAATAGTTGATTCACACATTATATTAAGAGAGCCATCTATGTTGAAAGGAAGAATCCTAGTCAATCATTAATTGCCATTGTGATTTTACAGATGAGAAAACAGTCTCAGAAATACTAGTCATGCCGGGGTGGGACTTAAAACCCTACCTTGTGATGGATAGTTGCCTCATCATATTACTCTATAACTTACAAAGCACTTTGCATGCATTATTTCTCTTGCTTCTTATAATAAACATCTAGGGTACGCAGGAGGATTATAGCTTCCATTTCCGTAGGCAAGAGGAGAAAAAAGCAACAAGTGGAGGCTTGGTAACACCAGGTGATTGGTGTTTTCAGGAGGCAACCATTCAGCCGGGGTTTTCATTGCTTCTAGGAGGGCCGTGGCTGCCACACTGTCTCAGATGAGAACAAAGTAATGAAACTGTGGAACTTGCTCACTGTACCCAGCACCCAGGACTGTGCCATGTCACCATACTTGCCAAGGCATGGGTTTTCCACGCAGGCAGAGATCCATTTCCCCTTGAGATGGAACTCAACACACCACCATATTTATTCTCTCCTCACGGTGGTGCTAGTGCTAATACCCACCTTCTAAAAAGACCTTCAGGCTTCCAGACTCCTCCTTCATTTTTCAATTTCATGTAAGAGCCAAAAAGCATGCAGTACACGGTTGCAGCAACTCCAAAGTAATCAATCTACAAAGAAAATATAGGCCTATATATCTAAAATACCAATTCACACACCAGTATATTAAAATGTCTAACTTACTCAGCCAGATACAGTCACAAGAAGTTACTTTTGAAGAATCTGGACATCATATGTTCTGTATCCCACTGATGTGCCCTACTGAATGCCTGTCTAGGCTTTGGTGGAAACTTCCACAGACAGATCACCCACTGTCCCCTGAAGCTCTGTTCTCCTTGAGCTGTTGTGTCCTTCTAAGTCCTTCCTTTCTTTTGTCACCCAGAGGCAAAAGAAATCCCCTCCCCCAAGGACAGTTTGGAAGGCCTCCTAACTCCTGGCCCTGGGACCCACCCTCCGCTCTCACTGCGCTCCAAAGCCTCATGGAATGTGCTCATAACTGAACATAACACTCAAGCATGGCCTAAAGCCCAGGATAGGAGACCTGAGCAGCTCATACTAACTAGATGCTCAAATTCATTCTGAAAATATAATTGTTATAATATAATAAAGAAAAACGTTTCCAAATCTCTCATGTTAACTCTTATACCTGGTAGTTCCACAGTTTGTTACTGAGCATCTCAGTACATTGAAAACCGGACATTTCACACTTTGCTGTAAATGTAGTTCCTTTTGGAAAAATTTTACCATCATTACTCTGAACTCTATTTCAGATAAGTTTTCTTTTTATCTTTGCTTCATTTATCTTTTCTTCTGGAGAATTTTCTAGTTCTTTCTTTGTATCCTCATTTTGGGTGTCTGTTTGGGTTTGTGACTATGTATATCCTCTACGCCTCTCAATCTCTAGTGCAGGACAGTGTTAAAGGATTAGATCAGGCAAAGACTCAAAGCCTCCAGAGACCTCCAGAGACCACATCTCTGATGGGATTCCAACTTCAATTTCGCCCAGGCAAGTGTCCTCAGGTGTGGCAAGTGTTTTTGTTTCAACAGTGTGGGGCAGTTGTTTCTACCTGGAGGCTAATTGTTGTTTTTAGTCTCTTAAGTGTCCTCAGGGCAAGGTGTTTTCCAATAGGGTGTGTCAACTGTCTTCCCTGCAGGCAAGGTAAATGTCTATGTGGGAAAGATGTCCTCTACTGCATGAGAGAATGACTCAGCCCATGAAATTTGGGGTATCTGCTTTCTGAGCTCTATCCTCCAAGTCCCTAGTCCTGACTTCTTCTCTCAGCTCCAAGTCACTTTACCCTCCCTCTGCCAGAGGACAAGGTGGGTGGCTCCACAAGGAATTTTGTGTGTTGGCCCTTTAAGAGGGTGTCTTAATTTTCAGCTGTCATCTCCTGGCAGACAGCACCCTGCTGCTTTTCACTGTCATATATTATGGGGTACCCTTCTCAGTTTTGGTACTCACTGCTGGGGGCCCCAGCTTGGGGATTAGATCCCAGAGTTGTCAGTGGCAACCCCCCACAGCTGAGATATCTCTCTAGACTTCAGTTGCTGTCGGTGGGTGCCTGGCCAGCCCGTTTTGCATCTCCAAATCTCCTACCAGTCTTTATGTGGCCTCCACTTTTGGTCCTCAGGTATCAGGGTTCTCTCTTGTGAATTTTCCATTGATTATTGAAGAAGTTTTTCTGTATTTTAGTTGTAATTAAAGTTTTTTTCCTGGGAGCATGTCTGTGCTGTCCTTAGTTCCCATTGTCCTAGGACAGTGATGGCGAACCTTTTGAGCTCGGCGTGCCAGCAGTTTGAAAAACCCTAACATAACTCTGGTGCTGTGTCTCATATAGAAATTTTTTGATATTTGCAACCATAGTAATACAAATACTTATATTTTTTATTTATTTAATATATTTAAATGCCATTTAACAAAGAAAAGTCAACCAAAAAAATGAGTTCGCGTGTCACCTCTGACATGCGTGTCATAGGTTCGCTATGACTGTCCTAGGAGCTATATTGATAAACATATTGCTATGAGATATGTCTGTATGTTGCTGCCTATGGATTCTAAATTAAATAAATTAATTTCTAATTACAGTTTATATTCAATATTTTTCATTTATTTTTTATTAAGAATAATGAATAGAAATCCTGCCAGACATTGAAGCCATTCCAATCCCAACCTAATTGAAGCCAGAATGTTTTAAAGCCCAAAGACGGAGGACCTGTTGGGGCCCATTCTCACAAGTGACCTCTGGGGACAAGGCATCACATAGTTCACTGGATTAGTGCTCCCACTTGCACAGTTTACCAGCCAACCACAGCATGGTAAATAGAGAAATGGAAAGATATTGGAAAATGTTATAGCAATTTGACAGATTATTTTTAAATATATTTTTATTGATTTCAGAGAGGAAGAGACTGGGAAAGGGAGATAGAAATATCAATGATGAGAGAGAATCTTTGTTCAACTGCCTTCTGAATGAGCCACACTGGAATCAAGCCCACATGTTCTCTGACCTGGAATCGAACCATGACTTCCTGGTTCATAGGTGGTAAGTGCCCTTGACCAGAATCAAACCTGGGACAGCTTTAGTTCACAGGCTGACACTCCAACCACTGAGCCAAACTGGCTATGGCTAAAATGGTTAGTTTTATGTTATTTGACCTCCATCTCAGTAAAAACAACAAATCAGAGGAAATATCAGGCAATTCTTTGCCAGAGATCTGGGAGCACGGGAGTGGGCAGTGGTTCCCTTATTGGATTCCCTGGCAGCCTCGCAGCTGTGGCCCATTGGCTCTCTCCTAGCATCATCCTGCTCCACCACCTAATGGCCAGGGCCTGGCCACCCTGCTCTGCGCCCGGGGCTGCTCATGCTGTACTACCCTCCGTGTCCAGGTAAGGCAGCCCTGCCAGGGAAATGATGGGCATGCACTTTCCCTACCCGATTGCTTGCATTTCCTGCCACTGTCCCCCTTCTGGCCTGACCAAACACGAGGCGTTTGCGTTTTTGTCATTCCTCCTTCCGTGGCCAGGGGCTTCCCCCTCACACCTGCTTTCCCACCTCCTTCATGGCCTGAGCAGTCCTCTCTCCCTTTTGCCATTCTCCCTCACATTATGCATTTCTTACCCAGTGAGTTCTTACTGTGGTAACATCCCTGTGTGGCACTCCAGCACGTCCTGTGGTGATGTCGCTGAGCATCCGCAGGAGTCCTGGCCCCTCTCGCTGAAAAGAGCCACTGACATGATTGTTCCCACTGACCTTGAGAACCCGTGTCCATTGAAGTACCAAGCGTGGCCTCCAGGCTGCTCAAGGAGACGGCCTGCATCTCTCCGTGGTCAGGAATTGAACCCGTGACCCTTACGTCCCTGGGCCAATGCTGTAACCACTGAGCAAAACCAGCCAGGGCAACAATTTTTAACATCTAATGCATTCTACCACTGAGAATACACAATTATTACAGTTCTTTGGATCACTATATCTACACTTAAAAATAGTATATTACATATAATAATTTTAACAAAATTGCATAAAAGCAGTGATTCAGTTGTATCAAACAAATGAAAATAACAGAGAAAAGACTGGAAAGAGACATATTGTGAAGTTAATAATGATGGTGGCTGGGTGGACCACAGCTCATTCATTCTTGAACGTTTTTAATATCTCCCAACTTGTCTATAAGGTAAAGTTTTTAGTCTTTCAACATTTTAAAATAGTGAGTATGCATCTTTTGTTTCATTTTTTTGTTAATCCTCACATAAGGATGTTTTTTCTATTTTTAAAATATATGTTTTTATTGATTTCAGAGAGGGATAGAGAGATATAAACATCAATGATGAGAGAGAATCATTAGTCATCTACCTCCTGCATGCCCCACACTGGGGATCGAGCCCACAGCCTGGGCATGTGTCCTGACTGGGAATCAAACTGTGACCTCCTAGTTCATAGGTTGATGCTCAACAACTGAGCAACACTGGCAAGGCTCCATTGGTTTTTAGAGGGAGTGGAAGGGAAGGAGAGAGGAAGAAGGAGAGAAACATCAATGTGAAAGACACACCTATTGGCTGCCTCCTGCATGTGCTCCGATCTGGAGCAGGGGATTGAGCCTACAACTGAGGTTCATGCTCTTGACTGGAATTGAACCAACAACCCTTCAGTCTGGGGACCAAAGCTCTATGCATCTGAGAGCCAATGCTCTAGCCACTTAGCATCACCAGCTATGGCTCCTTTTATAATAGAAAATGTAAATCTTTAAAAACATAGTTCAAAATTGAGCCCCAAGTGGGCTCTGCATATTCTTCGTGCACCACAAGAGGGTGTAGAAGAGGCAGGTCACATAGGAATTCAGCGTTTGGACCCCTTGTGGGGCTGCGTGTTCTTTGTACCCCACAAGAGGGCACAGAAGAAACAGCTACCATTAGGAATTCAGGCTGTTACACATGAGGTGCTTCACATTCTCTGTGCACCAGAAGAGGGTGCATAAGAGACAGATCCCATCAGGAATTCAATCTTTGGTCCCTACTAGGGCTGCATGTTCTCTGTGCACCACAAGAGGGCGCAAAAGAGACAGCACCCATCAGGAATTTAGCCTCTGGTCCTCACATGGGGTGCATGTTCCCTGTGCACCACAAGAGGGCGCGAAAGAGACAGCACCCATCAGGAATTTAGTCTTTGGTCCTCACATGGGGCTGCATATCCTTCGTTCACCACAAGAGGGCGCAGAAGGTATAGCTCCTATCAGGCATTCAGCCTTAGGTCCTTTTGGGGGGCTGCATGGTCTCTGTGCAACACAAGAGGGTGCAGAAAAGACATCTCCCATCAGGAATTCAAACTTGGGACCCATTGTGAGGCTGCATGACCTAAGGGCGCCACAAGAATGCGTAGAAGAGACACTTTCCATCAGGCATTCAGACTTACATTGCCACATGGGGCTGCTTGTCCTTCATTCACCACAAGAGGGCGCAGAAGAGGCAGCTTTGGTAAGTAATACAGCCTTTGGTCCTCACATGGAGCTGCATGTTCTCTGTGCACCACAAGAGGGCGCAGAAGAGGCAACTTTGATCAGGAATTCAGTCTTTGCTCCCCACACCTTTGGAATACCTTTGGAATCCTTAGAACCTGA